TTCTGCCAACAGGCACTGCTGCATTTTGTATCGGGGTGAAGGTGGAGTCACACAGACTGCTTTTAAAATGACTTGGGATTATGGAGTGCTGTCAAACTGCCAGTTAGCTTTCATGGCAGTATGTGGATTTTATGTCTGACATATTGAGAGGCAGAAGGAATAGAAATGACAAAGTGTAGCCACTTCTTCATTCTGCGGCTCTGTTCTTTGTAGCTAAGAGGTTCTTGGGAGCCACAGCTTTGGTGAGGGGGAAGCTGAGTCTGAAGGATGGTCAGGAGGCTGGATGGCACTGTGGCCGAAACCATAAATTTTCCTCTTCTTATATCACCCACAAGTATTTTAAATAAGATATCAATCAGTTATTGTTAAATCTCGGAGCTGGAAAGTTGTTCTGATGACAGCTGTGCATATTAGCTGCATGAGCTGCATTAAAAAATGAAGGAAGGAAGATCTAAGGCAGTTTTTGGTCAAGAACTTGTAAGCTTCAAGGCGGTATAATGCATCCTGGTAGGAAAAGAAGGAGATTTGTTAATGCTTTAGTTTACATACAGCGTATAGCTAAGGATATAGTTAGGATTATGTGTATTAATACCTAAATAGAAAGGAGTAAACATTAACTACAATATAGAAACAAAAGAAGTAAACTTGGCACTGAAACAAGTAGAACTAGAATGCTTTTTATCAGACGTCATGAACTCACGGAGGTGGCTGGAAGAGATCTCACAGCCCGTCCAGCCCCAACCCCGTGCTGTGGCAGGGCTGCCCCCACCAGCTCAGCTGCCCAGGCCGCATCCAACCTGGCCTTGAGCCTCCAGTGATGGGGAGCCACAGCTTCTCTGGGCAGCTGTGCCACACCTCAGCGCTCTCTGAGTCAAGAATGGCTTCCTGACATCCAACCTTCAGCTCCCCTCTTTTAGTCTAAAGCCATTCCCCCCTGTCCTATCGCTATCAGGTGGCTTTATAAGTTGGGCCCTCTCCTGTTTATAAGCTCCCTTCAAGTACTGGGAGGTCGCAGTGAGGCCTTCCTGCAGCCTTCCAGTCTCCAAGAGCAGACTCCTTGTAAATGAAACTGGATTTGGGAACTCCAGGTTCTAAGAATTTCTGTGCAGAACCTTGATTCTTTTAACAAGCTTTAGCTTCAGCTGACCGTGGACCTAAAAAAGACCATTAGCTGTGAGCGAGTGCTGCAGCCTCAGCTTTGTACCACACGTATTGCCACAGCTGGCGCAAAGAAGGGATTCAGTGATTACATCTGCTAACTGCAATGAATATCAGACAGAAAAGATGAGGACCTTTGGGACTGAGCACAAGTAGTGAATGCAGTGGTTGAAGTGGGATTGAGAAGTGGTTGAAGGGGATTAAGAGTCTTTATTTCAATTTCTTATCTGAATTTGCTTGGCTTCAGCATCCAATTGCTATTGTCTTCTTTGTCCAGATTTAAAAAGCCCCACAGTTTCCACCATGCTCTTTGGCATGGTTTCTTCTTGTGTTATACACTTTTCAGTTTTCTGCTTGGCAATCAAAATAATCTCCCCTGGATCCCACACCGTAAAGGATTTTCTTTATCCCTCAAAACAGTGCTTTTTCTCCTTATGGTCAGAAATTTCTGATTTCAACACTTTAAAATGTCAGCCCCACTGCCTTCCCAGTAGCATAACATTTTCATACTGTTCTCATCAGAACTCTATGGCAGAACATAAACTCACCATAAAACATTCCATTTGTATTCGCTTGTTGCATCAGTGCTCTTCACTGCAGAATGACACCAAAAGTTTGCTTATGTCAAGCTATGTATTCCAAACAATCCTTTAATAAAAGAATCAGAATCAAAGAACCATAATAATCATCCACTTTCAGCCCCCCTGCTATGTGCAGGGCAGCAGACCAGGCTGCCCAGAGCCACATCCAGCCTGGCCTTGAATGCCTCCAGGGATGGGGATCCACAGCCTCCTTGGGCAACCTGTTCCAGTGCGTCACCACCCTCTGGGTGAAAAACTTCCTCCTAATATCTAACCTAAACCTCCCCTGTCTCAGTTTAAAACCATTCCCCCTTGTTCTATCTCTATCCACCCTTGTAAATAGCTATTCCCCTCTTGTTTATATGCTCCCTTCAAGTACTGGAAGGCAGTGAAATCCTTTTCAGTTACTGCTTCCCAAGAGACAACTCATATATTTGATTTTCTTGTTTTTAGAAATGAGACTTTGTAGATGGTAAAACCAAAATACTTACAGGTCCACATCAGTAACATTTCAAATCTGAGAGACTGCAACCTTTATTTTTATACACTTTAAGTTGGTGTGATTTCTGTACTTTCTGGTAGTTTCTGTACTACCAGACAAAGTGTTGGATAGTACCACTACTACACCGATATTTACTAGCAGAATTTCACATGTGATTTTCCAGTAACGGTCTCTGAAAATGTTAGCCAGACTGTTCTGCACCAGGACACGTCCTCTATTAGAAAGGTCTACTGTAGGGGGCTGCAAAAAAATAACAAAAACAATACGGAAGCACAAGAAGTAGCAAGGGTTGAAGCATGTATTGATAACAGCAATCGAAACAGTAAATGCTGAGGAATGTGCTGTCTGCATCAAGAGCAGCAGGCTTGAGCTCCAATTGGGCTACAGCTTCGTGACTTGTCAGCAGGAGACCTGAGCTCTGATAACAGGAGGATGGTGGTATGGTTACAGCACGTGGCAGAATGCTTCCTGCTGGCCCAGCAGGCGGAAAGGGTGCAGCAATAAAGATACAAGAAAACACAGGCAACAGATAGCAACCTCCCTTCAGTCTTATGGGGCATGAGGTAAGCAAGGCTGAGGCGGAAGATCACGCAGTAACAGCTGAAGGATACACGCATCTGGCTGAAAGAGTTTGTCCTTGCCAGTGAAGTACCCACGTGGCGAGGCAATTGCTCAGTAGAGTGCATTGCTTGTCGTCCATAGTGCTCTTCAGCCAGGCTGCTGTGAGCACCTGGAAATTTGTATCTTGGAGCTCACAAGCAAGTGGTTTGAGAATAGCACTGTGCAAAATCAGAAAACGTGAATGACAGAGATTAAATGCCATCTTCCCTTTTCCTGTGCTCTTGAATTAAATTTTGTTAACTCCCTACTACACTGTCAACATGAATTACAGAACATCCCCTAAATTCAGAGTTTCTGCAAATAGAGACAGCTCTTTGACCAGACCCATATTCTGTATAAGCCTATTTTAGTTCCTCTTCATTTGAATCTCATAATAGATCTCCTGGTGCCTCAGTTCCCACCAGTACCATGGCAACAAGAACATAATCCTCCCACATGGCCTTTTCTGAATATTGGGACAATGTAAAGAAAATTCTTCAATTTCTGTACTCTCAGACCTCTTTCAAAGGAACATGATTAGCAGAGCAGAATCTTTCAGCCAACTCTCATTACACTTGGTTTCAATTTTTATGCCTGTAGATACTGAATACCTCATGGACATAAAGCTCCTTTTGGACCATGTGGGATCTATAAAATGCTTTGTCACCTCCACATGAAAAGCATGTTTTCTTGAGTGTTTCTAAAGACAGAACACAAGCATTTTCAGCCTATCTCCACACGTAACCACCTGCCTAGTAATGAGGCTGTTGCAAAGCTAGCCTGATTTCGGACAAATGCCTGATTATTTTCAGCTGCACAAGACAGATTTTCCTAGTGGCCATCTTACATTCCAAATATGCTGTACTTCAGTTTCTGTTTCCTCTTCTTCCCACTTAAATACTCCACTTTATAAAAGCCATTAATCTACAACATTTCTTCAAGTCCAGACAATTTTTTAAAACCTGATTTGTACCAATTTCCTTGATCAACAAGCAGTTGAGATTTAGACTTCTTTGAAACTGAGCAAAAATCTCATGTTGTGGTTATTGCAGCCACTTGTTAACAAATACCAATCTGATCACAGGTTTCTATGCATGTATAGTAATTATTTAATAATAATAATCTATAATTCAAAATGTTATGATACAGTCCTTTCTAAAGGGCACCAAGTAAGTTTATTTCACCACTGGCTTCACTACTTCAAACATGTCTCTCAAAATGAGTCAGCTTCTCCCCTCGCTCATCCCTGCAGTAGGCATGGCAAGTTAATTATCCAGTTTGACAATACAGACATTTGTTAATATATTGCTACTTTGTGCTTTATTTGTTAGCACATGACTTCAATTCTCTTCCTGTTCTGAGTGGTTCTGAGTCACCAGTACCCGTGTCCAAAACAGATACTATCTTTTAGTCTAGGGTGCACCTCCTGTTTTGTGTTTCTCAAGCAAATTGTAAGTGGTTTAAAAAACAAACATACATAAAACCAAGATATATAACCACTCTAGGCACATTTAAATAGATTGTTTCCAAGCTGTACTATCTATTTTTACAGTCAACTAGTACACTGGGAGGAGAAGATGATAATGCTTCAAATTATCCATGCAGAAGAAGGGTCCATCACTTGTAATGAGAGAAAGTTTGAGCAAACAAAAAAAAACCCAAACCCAGCCCTCAAGAGACAGCTAATGGATGAACAGAAGTGGATCACTGAGCTGAAGTGAATGAGACGAGGTTCAACAAGGCCAAATGCCGGGTCCTTTACTTTGGGCACAACAACCCCATGCAGCACTACAGGCTTGGTGGCTGGATGACTGTGAAGAGGAAAGGGACCTGGGGGTGCTGGCTGATGCTCGGCTGAACACGAGCTGACAGTGTGCCCAGGTGGCCAAGAGGGCCAACGGCTTCCTGGCCTGCATTAGAAATAGTGTGGCCAGCAGCAGCAGGGAGGTGATCATCCCCCTGTACTCAGCACTGGTGAGGCCGCACCTCGAGTACTGTGTTCAGTTTTGGGCCCCTCACTACAGGAAAGATGTTGAGGCCCTGGAGCGTGTCCAGAGAAGGGCAACGAAACTGGTGAGGGGTCTGGAGCACAAGTCTTATGAGAGAGGCTGAGGGAGCTGGGATTGTTCAGTGTGGAGAAGAGGAGGCTCAGGGGAGACCTCATTGCACTCTACAACTTCCTGAAGGGAGGTTGTAGTGAGGAGGGGTTTGGCCTCTTCTCCCAGGCAACAAACAGGACCCGAGGAAATGGTCACAAGTTGTACCAGAGGAGGTTTAGGTTGGACATAAGGAAGAATTTTTCTCTCAGAGAGTGGTCAGGCACTGCAATGGCTGCCCAGGGAGGTGGTGGAGTCGCCGTCCCTGGCAGTGTTCAAGAGGCGCCTGGATGAGGAGCTGCGAGATGTGGTTTAGTGCTTGTGGTAGCAAGGGTAATGGGAGGATGGTTGGACTAGATGATCTTATAGGTCCTTTACAACCTTGTGATTCTATGATTCTTATTTTTGTCACAGGCTAAATAGTTATGCTGACAATTCCTCCACTTATCAAGCGTATAAAAGGCTTTTGCTGCCTTACGTTCCTTGATATTGATTATTATGGTTAAAGTAGCTACTAAAGCTTTACTAAATCAAATATAACTCTGAACTTATCTCTCACTACATAGCATACAGAGACTTCTCAGAGTTGTGGAACGAGCAATGAAGTGAACAGTTTTGCTTAACTAAGGCTATTTCCTGCAGTTATCTGTATGCCCTTGAGAACTTATCTGTTTCATTTACAACTCATGCAATTGAAAAAAAAAACCTCATTACTTAATAGCTGTATCAGAAGTTTCAGCTCCCTCCGTAGTTGTTGTCCTAAGAATGTTGACTAGTGCAAAAGCATGAAGCCAATTTCTGACCAGACATCTTCCAGGCCTCAAATTCAATTTTTTCAAACATTAAATGCCCACTCAAACGTACCCATCCAGCTGTTTGAAGCATTTTCTTGTAGAGAGATAGATAAATCTTCCCGAGAGACATCAGGTTTTCCTCATGCACTTGAAAAAACATCTGATCTCTCACTTTCACTCATTTGAAAATTACTGGCGTAAAGCAAATTAAACCAGGATGAGCTGTTGGGAAAAACCTGATATGAGCAGCAGCAAGATATGAATTTGATGCCGTGCCATAGAAAATGACAATAAACTTAAGGTGAGAAGGCAAAATGATTGCTACAGTCATTTAATGAAGAGTTTGGAAGACTTCCTAATATTAACAGCAGTGGTGAAAATATCCATTAGTTGTCATAACGTTTATGTTACTTGGACCAAACAAGATGGATCCCAAATTGTTGTTTTTTATCTAATGACCTACAATTCCTCCAGCACCAAGAAATAGGACATATATATAACCCCAGAAGCATCTTCATCTAGTCTCTGACTTAAGCTGCAAAAAGTTTTTTAATTTTAATCAAGCTTTCATCTTTCACCAGTTTTATGGGCAAATCTAAAATAAAAAGCAGAACACACGGTGAGAAAAGTAACTACTTTCTTTCTTTTAATATAGATGTAGTACAGAATGTTTAATTACAGCAGGACAGTGCTTCCAGTTAAATAAAATTAAAAACCTTTATTTCCCCCAAATATAAAATTACTAAATTAATGTCTTAAAAGAATAAGAATATGGAAAAAGCTTTAAATTATACCACCATTTACCACAGTAACCATGATCAGCAATTACATACTCCATCGCTTTGGCAAAAAAGTACTTTTTCTTTTAATAACTGCATATAAACCTAACATAGCAAAGACTGTATACATCTTTATATTGCACTTATTTATATACATGAGTAAATGAACAGTAAAGTCTGCATATACTTGGAATGAGCAAATTTTCACAATAACCTGAAAGCAGGAAAAGAGCTGGTATGAATATTAAAAATGCTTAGAAATGTAATACATTTATGTACAGACTGTATGGACTGTATTAACAAACAATATGTACATAACAGTTTACTACTACTGATAGTTTAGTGTAACTCCATGTTCATTAATCCAGACCTTTGGTTGTATTCAGTTGTTCAAGATCCAAGCTCACATACTTCCAAAATGCAACAAGGTATAAAATAAAGCACAACAATTTGCCAAATGGTACAAAAACTACTACTGTCAGTTTCATTAAACCCAAAAAACTAGTGTCTCTGTCTAGTCCCAAAATAATTCCTGTACTTGGAATCAATCTCTATGTGCCATACACGAAAAAAGAACACCTGAATGTTACATATCTGCAAAATTACATCCCACAACACTTTTTGTAATGTGCAATTCATCTTAATAATACTTTCTAATGAAAAGCAGAAATTAACTTCAACTTGATAATTTCTCAACACACACTTCTGTGATGACACTGTGAATGCTTTTGTTACCAGGAAGATTAAAAACTATATGTGCACCTCCTTTACTTATTCTAAAGGACTATACCAGTAACTGCTAGTTGCTTATCACTGTCTGCATTGATATCTAAGTGTGCTCAGACTTTTTTACATATTATGCAGCTTGCACGTGCCCAACATTTAGCTTCAAAATCATCCTGAGTCTGCACACAACGAAGCAAATCCACACACCTAAGAAAAAACTAAATCCAACAAAAAAGCCCCACCGTACTTTACAAAACAATCATGCAACTGAAGAAGAACTGGGCATCCCATGAACTGTTGTGCTTGTTGGAGTTCCACTGATGGCGTTGAAAATGTGTAGCGAATTGGGCATAACACTGGCCTTTTCTTCAACCGGAGTAATCTTAAAATGGAAAACCTACAGTCATCAAAATGTTCCAAAATGACACAAGCAATTACAAACCAGATATAAAATACTGCTTTCTATAGTTCACCCAAAGGACTTCATTTCTACCATCACAGAATCACAGACTGCTTTTGCTGGAAGCCACCCTGACCAACTTTCTTGGCTCAAGCAGGGTCATCTAATAACACCTACTCACCCAGAGGACAAATAGAGAGAGAGAGCAAACTGAACAAGGTACACTTTTTATGAAGAATATGAAGATTCATCCTTAGCTTAGAGGAATTACACAAAGATTAGACCAACTAAGAGCAAAAGTAAAGAAAACTAATTACCATCCCATCTGATATTTGCAAGCAAAGGGAAAAAAAAAAGAAAAATAAGATTATTTTATACAATTTTCCACACAAAGTTTTTGCAGTTCTTCATAAAACACACCATTGTAAGACAGCTAATAGTTGCTGCTTTTTTCGGTGGCAAAACAAACACTGTGAGAAGCTTTTTCTTCAAGTACAGCATCAGGCAGGCATATAAGGGTAATATTCTTAAAGATTTGGCTGAAGGCTTTGTGATCCTAAGCCTTTGAGATGAGATGAATCTAATTTTCCTTTATTTTTTACATAGAATGTTTTAATTACCACGTTTGTATAAAACCCACAATAGTGGGCTAATAGTGTACATCAGTGCTGTGCATTCATATTCTGTTCACTGCTTCACAGTGTCATTTGTTCGCCCCTTCTCTTCATTTACTGTCATCCAACTTGACTGACTCCTGAAGTTACAAGCATGACATCTTTTCTCCTATCCTCAATCTTTCCAAATTCACACATGAGCATTTTTTAAACATCAGCATCTTGTACTGCATTCTGATTATTTCTTCCTGTGTTCAAACCATCATCATTTTTTTTTTTACTTTTTTCCTGCATCTGTGTAGGATTATTTTTTCTTTCATTATCACTATCTGTCCAAAGCATTTTCCTCTCTTTTCTGAAGGGATCTTCTGTACAGTTGTCCAATTCTCCCATACACTTCATTTATTTTGATCAGCTGTCCAACCAGTTCATCTCCTTCCTAAAAAAACACCACTGCCTTCTCCTTTTCAGTACATTACATTAAAGTCAAACTATCCTGTTTCTTATTAGCTCTTTTCCTGTTTGCAGGATCATTCAAGACTGCATACGTGAGGTAACCTTTTTTTTTCCTAAAAAAATAAAAAAGCATGTTCTGACAAATGGTTCCACCCCCTACAAACCTCATCTCATCGTATTTTCCATTATCAGTGGCTACAATAAACCTATTTTTGTGGTAAGCTTTTCTCTGTCATGGTGTAACAAAAGAATAAGAGAATGAAAACAAATCCTGTGCACATGCTGCATTCTTGTGCTTCACCAGAATCTACAGCACAGAGCTACTCAGAACACAGTATTTGAGAAGAAAAGATGAGGAAATAATAGAAAACAGAGAAGCACATGAACAGAACTTCATCCCACTGACAAACTGTTGAATGCAAAAAAATTGCTATGCTTGCACTCTGAGAGAAATAAAAAGAAAACGAGCACAGTTCCCTAAAGTAAAGCATAATACATGCTTTCCCTACACATTTCAGCTACAGTTTGAATAGTGGAATGCATAAATTCATCTCAGCACCTACTTGCTCATGCATTATTTCAGAAAGCTCTTTTGCCATTTCTCTGTAGTTGGCTTTCATTTCTTCTTGATATTCCAACTGATCTTCCTTTATAAGTCGCTCATTCACACCAAGAGCATGCCCACAAGCTTCAACAAATTGCCTGGTTTAGATAAAATGATAACAAAGATCTCAAAAAGGAATACAAAAACCAGACAAGTAATTAAAAATGCTACTTAAAACTGTTTTTAAAAATCTTTTGTCAGTCTTGAATTTTTATGCATTTTATTAAAAAACAAAGAAACATGCAAACATACCTAAACACTTCCTTCAGTAGCTTCACTTTATTGTCTGGGTATCTTTTGGTGTTCGTGTCATCTAAGAAGGCTCGTGCGTATGCTAATGGACCAGCATTAACCTAAGAACAAGAATTACAAAATATGGTTAGCTCTCTGACTTACTGCCTTTGCAATAGCAGATACCACAATTGTCCTGGCTTTCTCAGTAGAACACAATTATTTTTTAAATGCATCTAAAACTAAACCAATCAAACAAAAAAACTATTAAAAAACAACAACAACAACAACAAAATAAAACAAGAAATCCTGGATTTTCTTCATAAGAAATAACTAGTAAGACCAGTACCATATTGATTTCTATTTGCCCAAATTCACGCACAATGTATCCTATTTTGGTGGATCTGATCATTTCTTTTTACTACATTCAGCCCTTGCTTGCCTTAGGTAACGATGTTATTAAAAAAACCCAAACAACATAAACACAAACTCAAAACATTACACACTGAGATTTTCTTCTATTGTCCTCCTCCTGTATTTAAGCTCCCCCCTTCATCCCCTACAAAATCAGCAACAAGCATGCTGAACCTAATGTGAGCAGATGTACAGCTAAATAAATGGTGTGAATTTTGGCTCAGATGGGAAGTCACTATTTTATTCTAGTTTCAGACCACCAAAGATTCCAGAATCATAATCTTAATTCTTGCATACAAATAAGTGTCAAGTGATCAGTGTTTATATGAAATATTTTTATTGTTTTTCCTGTTCTGGGAAAAAACTGCCAACAACAGCAAGCATATTACTGACTTAGGACATACTTGAATACTACAATGAAAATTAATGGTAAAATGCTACTTTGATACTTTTTCAGTGACAGAAACAAGCAAAAAAACGGAATGGCAAAGCGAACGGTCTTACCTGAACACTGACACTTCCTTGTAGCTTCAGCTGCAATTTGATCATATCTACTTCAGCTGAAGCACAAAGCTGCCTGAGTTCTGCAACTTTCTTACTCATTTCATCAATGGCTACTTCAATGGGGTTTAAATCAGTGTGGTGCTG